CTCTCTCTTGAAATTAGGATTTTATCTTCCTATTTTTCCTTATGCCAAGATTGAAAACTAGCATCCTATTTATAAGAAAAATAGCACACTAACCTAATGGGCTTTTTAATAATTAACCATTACAAGCTAACTTAGGGTACAAGCTAACTTAAATACTTGGACTTACAAGCAAGGACCAATCCACTATGCTAACAACCTAGCAATATTGACTAATGCATGTTAGAACAAACTTCGACTACAACACGCATTATCTTCGACAGCAGCATGCGAATAGACTTCGACCTCATGCTTAATTCCTATCGAACCAGAAGTTATCCTTCGACCATACTAGAGTTCGATCCAATATCTCGCAAATATTAAATGAAGTTTAAGAGTAATATGCTTAATTCTAAGAGATTTTTTGAGTATGTTCACTCGAATCTTTGAGTCGGGCTAGGATGGAAATTCACGAGGGTGATTTTTATTTTTTCATTATGATTGATGATTTTTCTAGAAGAGTATGAGTACACATTTTCAAACATAAAAGTGACACATTTAAAATTTTTAAAGAATGACATAATCTTGTAGGAAATTCGATGGCAATTAAACTAAAAGTTTTAAAAATAAACAATGGCCTAAAGTTTATTTTAGGCCACTTTAATGAGTTATGCCGAAAACAAAATATTAAGAGACATATAATTATAGTGGAACACCACAACAAAATAGATTAGATGAACTTATGGATAAAACCATTTTAGACCGGGTAAGGTGCATGTCATTGAGAGTTAAATTACCTAGGTGTTTTGAAGGTGAAATTGATTATGATGTAGCTTATTTGATCCAAAGATGTTCATCTACGAAAATAGACTCCAAAACACCTATTGAATTTTCGAGTGGAAAACATGTATAATGCTCTTATACAATTGGTTTAAGAGCTTTGGAGTTGGCACATATTAGGTAATATAAAATTGATGCTAGATTTGTAAAATGTGTCCTCATTAGTTATTTTGAAAGATAGAATGGATACAAGTTGTGAAAGATTGAACTTGAAGAATCAAAGTTCAATATAAGTAATGAAATTACTTTTGATAAGATTAGTATGGAGATGAAGTGTAAAAGACAAGTTAAGTACTAAAAGATAAGATGGATAAATTTCAGTTTGAGGTGGAGGTCTCTGTTAGTGAGTGATGAGGCTTCCATTTCTAGTTTTGGAGAAATGAAATCTATAATAGATCTAAAATATTAGTTGGCTCTTAATATGGTGTGAGAAAGATTGTACCACCTCAAAATTGTGGTTTTATTAATCTTTCTGGTATGTTTTAATTGTTGGAAAGTTACAAGACTCAAAATGAAAGCCCTTCAAGTAGATATTGAAAGAACAAAAAAAAGTAAATGGTTGAAGGTCATGAGCGAGAAAATGTATTAAATGGAGAAATCATAATTTGGAACTTGTGAAATTACATGAGAAACAAATGGTGGTTTGTTGCATGTGATTCTACAAGAAAAAGAAAGGAAATTCGAGGAGTGAATAACTAATGTGAAAAAGAAATTTACTCATGTAGAAGGAATCAATTATGGGAAGTACTTTGAAATCTTAGAAAAACGGCTAACAAAGGCCACAAGGCGTGGATAATTGTAATTCATACATTTCAATTTTGCTACATTCACGAGGTGGTGTATGCTTTCCATCAGTTCTCAACATATTGCAGTAATTAAGTTATAATTTGAAACACAGAAAAACACATTAAGATTTGCATCTGAAAAAGGACCTTAATTTTTTTTGTTGAGCATACCAAAGAATTTGTGAATTCACTTGAATGAGTGAAGAAATAATATCTATGGACATAAGAATCCTCAATAAAAAAAATCACACAAGAATACAATTATTATGGACATTTAGAAAACCATAGTGAGGAAATACAATCAAGGTCTATGTTCTTAAATTCTTTTAGCAGGGAATTGAACTGTTGGTGCCGGGCGTTGTTTCAGTCCACTTACAATTCCATCACTCTTCTGTGCAGTTTTCTTGCTCCTTAATGGAGAAACTAATCTTGTAGCCAGCCTCGAAGGAGAGAATGATCGACGAAATTTAGAGGCGGTCGATCTCTTTGGAGAACTCTTGCTCAAACTTGCAAGTCTTGTTGGTGAAATAGACACATTTGTGCTTTTAGGCTTGACTTTGGAATTTGAACCTGGAGATTTTATCAAAAACTTGTGTGGTGAAATTGACACATTACTAGTTCTAGTTGTGCTTTTGATCTTGACTTTGGAATTTGAAGGTGGAGATTTGACCAAAAACTTGTGTGTTGTTGTTGTTGTTCCTCTATTTCTTGAAATGATAGGAGACCTTGTTTTGCAAAACTGTTGCTGCTGCTGTGGCTGTGGCTGTGGCTGTGATGATGAAGAAGAAGAAGCATGAGTTGTTGACATGAACAAAGGGTTGGGAAAAAGAACTGCTTTTTTAGCCCATGGTCTATTCCTTGGAGATACCCTATTAGCCAAAGACAAATACTTGTTATTTTCTCTATCAAATTCTCTAACTTTTGGTGGAGAAACCTTAAAAGTGATTCTCGAACGAGCTTTTTGAAGAGAGGGAGAACCATCATTCTGTAGTTTTGTTTGCTTTTCTTTCTTCCTTCTAGTCCTAAGTTGAGTGTTTTCAAGGTTTGTTTTCTTGCTTGACCTTTGAGGAATTGGAGTTTTTGGATCCTCTTTGGAAGGAGTTTGGCAATTAACTGCTGAAACAAGTTCTTTTGCAAATTGACTAGCATGTAAAATTTCTCCAATGGTTTCTCCTACAAGCATTGCCGGCAATGACATTCTCCTCCATTCACCTATATAAAGGTTCAAAACTCAATAGAAAGTTGTATAACCCATGGTTTTACTTTGGTTTTGCAAGAGAAACATACCTGTGTTTGGTGTTGAGGGAAACTTTCCTACAGGAGATTTCCTTGTGGAACTATTCTTGATTCTTGAGAATGTCATGAAAACGCAAAAGCATTTGAGTTAACAACTAAGAACCATAACTGTTGAATAAATAAATAGATTAAAACCTCTAGGATAGACACGGTGTCCGACACGAGTAGTATCTGACACTTGTATCACACGTGATTTCTTTTCATTGTCCGACACCCAGTATGACACTCACAACAAGTGTAGAACAATTCAAATATGTGACATTGTCGGTGTCTTATGTTTTTTACATATTGGTATTGGATTGTCCATATCAGTGCTTAGTAGATTAAAACAAATATGGCTATGAATGAAGCAAAGAAAAAGTACCGGAGTGATTCTTGCTTGCACCTGAGACTAGTTCTGAGATAACCTCTGGTGCTACGAGGGCTGAGATTGGCCCCTGAAACCACCTTGTTTCCACCAGTCACCGTGTACTGTAGTTCTTGCAATCGAGCCATGCACTGATCCACCTTCAAAACCCAGAAAGAACAATTCACAATCAAGAGAAAAAAAAAAGAACAAAATTAAGAATTTTATCCGTCAGTAATAATTACCTTGTTTAATGTTTCTCTAATGAGAACAGGATTGAGAGCAGCTAAAGTTTTTCTCAGTTTTGGTGGGGTTCTTGCAACCATCTTGAGAAAACAAAACTAAACACAAGAGGTGGGTCTCAGATTAGAATTTTCAATTCAATCACTTACACTTTCATTCACCCAACCAAAGATTGGATCTGAACTTACACACACTCTCTCTCTCTAACACGGACCACAAACCTTTTTTGCTTTTGGTTTCAGAGTTTGGCAAGAGTTTTGATGTGAAAGAAACAAGAACAATGAGTAACGGTTTGTTTTACAACGGTCGAATGAATCTGTGTCTTAATGAGACAAGTGTAACGGCTATATCTTTTCTTTTACTTGGGACCCGGGTTGACTTATTGGAAACTAGTATTCTATTAATTCTAATTATTTCCATTTTTTCTAACTAAAATAGTTGGCAAATTATAATTAATTGTTGCTTTATTATTTTCGTCAAGGAGAATTAAATTTTTTAGTGTTACAAAACTTAGTTCTTGTGATTAAACTAGCACATCAAGTATATTTATAAATTATTAATCTTAATTATTCTAATGAGTATATATTTCTGAGAATCTACATATTTTTTTATTAGATAAATAATATTAAGGTTATGTTTGTTTGAATAGTTTTACAAAATTTAAGTTAATAAATGAACTCAATTAAGCTAATTCAAACATACCTTAATTACATTTAACTGTTTTTTTTTTTTAATAAATGAATGAGATTGAGTCTACATTCATATTAATGTAAGAAAATAAAAATGTTGCCTTGTTCCGAAGTTTTAGATGAGATTTTTCATTTTTCTAAGAATCTGAATAATGCTAGACCTATCAATGTTATTGGCGTAGTTTGAGACTTCATGGTGCTTGCAAAACAAGAGTATGGCATGGCCTCTAAGCATTTTTATTTTTTTTCAACTATCAAAGAACAATATTGTACTTGATATAGCCTAAAGGAGACATGAAGTTGAGGTTTTTGTATGAAGGACACAGTAATAACAAGAGAAATTAACATCATTTGGTGAGTGCTACTTTTTACACTTTTTAAATTAACAAGAAAAGACCAACAATGCAGTATGAAGGACACTTAACATCATTTGGTGAGTGCTACTTTTTACACTTTTTAAGTTTACAAGAAAAGACCAACAATGCAATGAGAGAAATGAACATCATTTGATAGAACAACATTCAAACAGCAGTTGAAATAACAAAAACAGATTATATAAGCTTTCAGAAATTGAACCAACATTCATAACAAGAGATCAAACTTCAAATACATCAAAGAATTTATAAAAGAGCGTTAATTAAACATGAATTGGTTTATATGATGAAAAATATGTGCAATAGTGATGATTTTAGGTGTTTTTCTAGTTCTCTTGGCTCAAGAGGACTCCATAATAATGATCTCCTTTGTAGCGCATCCGCATTTGGATGCCTACCCATATGTGGACCTGCCTGAGCATGAGCAGATATTATGAATAAAATACAAGGTCTACTGCAGTTGAGATGGCAATATTGATGGTTTTTGTTTGGCTCTTAGCGCGAGAGGACTCCAAACTACAGGTTTCCTTTGTAGCGCAAATGCAGACGTGAACTTGCCCAGACGTGAACCTACCCCAGCATGTACTGGACTGCCCATAAACTTGCTGCTGCTGCCTCTAACAGGTATTGGGGCCTGAGCATGTAATGGACTGCCTATAAACTTACTTCTGCATCTAACAGGTTGTATAGGTGTTGTATCAACTGATGTTCTCGTTGCAGTCAATGGGACGAACAAATTTGAATACCGACCCCTTTGGCTCCTCATTGTTGATGCACTGCTTCCCCCGGTAGTCATTTCAGACACTGGATCCGGACCGAGTGTAGCAATGGAGACTCGCCTCTTTGGCTTAAGGATCTGCTTTGTTGATACACTGCTTCCCCCGGTAGTCACCACTTCAGATGTTGGATCAGGACGGAGTGTAGCAATAGAGACTCGCCTCCTTGGCTTGAGGATCTGCTTTGTTGATACGCTGCTTCCTCCAGTAGTCATTTCAGATGTTGGATCAGGACGGAGTGTAGCAATGGAGACTCGCCTCCTTGGTTTAAGAATCTGCGTTGTTGATTGTACAGGTGGTCTCATGGCAATGGATGCCCTGCTTCTTGGTCTTGCAAAGCCTTCAGTATCTGCTGTCGCTGAATTTCTTCTGGTAGAATTTTCCTTTCCATTCATTTGATGAATGCTCGTGTATCTCGTTGATCTTTTAGGAGATGGGAAAGGGATGAAATTTGTTATCCTTCCGAGGGGCATTCTAGAGTTTGAAGGAATCAGTGGTGGTCTTTTATCTGTCACGGTTGTTTGTTTAAAAAACGTAGGTGGTTGAGCTGAAACAGCAGCAAGTGATCTATTTTCTTGCTTTAGTCTAGTTTTTCTTTCTTCAGCTAGCTGATTCTCAAGGTCCCGTACCTGTCAAATCGTTTCAAAGTTGATGAGTATGATATAGATATGAACGTGAAGGTACACAAAAACAATTTCTTTTAGGAGGCATATGGAGCTAATAACATTGGATTTATACCTTTTCCTGAAGGCTTTTACAAGTAAATTCTTTCGTAGAAAATCGGATTTGCAAGGATTGCAGGCTCTCCTGTAGTTTCTTTATTTCCTTCTCGTCATGTTTGGCCTTTTCTGCCTTTTATGATGACAAAGATTTATGAGTTTATGTAATGAAAAAAGAACATTTCTTTTTGAAAGCACAATTATACTTGAGCTTACCATTTGCTTGTTCTTAAACAGATCGCTGAGGTCTACTTGTTTGCGAGCAGGGCCACTCTCGATTCCACGGACACGAGTGGCGAAATTCAGCGAACATAGTGTCTCTCCTAAGTCTGCTGAGCTTGGACTAACTTGGACCAACATTAAGGTTTTACAATCTCCTCCTGCATTTCAGTCCCAGGTCAAATCTTATTAGTTATGTAAAGCAGAAGTTGCAGCACTGCATTTCAAATCACAAAAGGAAAGGTCATTTGGAAAGGATCATAATTATTATATTGCTGAAATGAAATCTCACCTAAAGAGCTCTGCAGTATGTGAGTAAGCTTTGAGTTTCTGCCTCAAATATAAAATACAAAATGTTAATGATATAAAGGAGCATTATACAAGATGTGTTTGATGGACGAAAATAAAATTTTACCTATAAGGGATGTGGGCTGCTTTGGAAGCAAGTGCAGAAATAACATCACCAAGTGCCGAAAGAGACTTGTTAATGAATTGTGATTCCTTCAGTCTTTCTCCCTCAGCTTCGGTTTTTCCCACACGCTCACTACCTGCTAAGTCTACTAGCCAAAGGTGACTCCTTGTTTTCTGGCCATTAATTAAACTCTCCCCAACAACAGTTACTCGCAACAAGCTGCATAAAAAACCACCACCTCCTCATTGTCTCATTGAAATAAAAAATTACATATAGCTCAAGGAGAATAATATTGATTAATATGGCTAAAATAATTAGTAACAAAGATATTTGAAAATTGAAAATAAAATATAAAATGAAATATCTAACTGGATGTAAGAATCAAGACATACCAATGAGATCGGCTGCTCTGCTCATTAGCAGAAGTGGATCCAACAGATCTGACTCTGTTTCCAGTCTTGAGCAATTCCCACACATCATCTGTTCCATGCACCTGAGTTTCAACAAGTCCTGGAACTTCTTGTGTTCCTTCTGCAGATTGCTTTATCTCCAATCTTAAGTTAAAAATTTGTTTTCCTCATCAGTGACATCTCTCCAAAAACAATACAACAAAATTTTATGCATGTTGGACATTTATTAGTTTGACAATTAGAGGAAAATTAACCGATTGAAAAATTTATATTTTACATCATACTTAGAACTGTGAAATGAAACTATAATAGTTTTATTTTTTCTCTCGAACTTATCTAGCAAACATTATCTAATCGGCACTCTCAGATTTTCTTGTTTATTAAGATCATATGAAATGACTGTCTATTAATGAACTAAAAAATACAATGCTAAAATAATTAGAGTACTAAGAAGAATTAAAACTCACTTCTTCGGCTGGGCAGAATTTTCCACCAAAAGATCTTTTAACTTCTCATTATAGACCTCCAGCATACTAACATGCAACTGATACTTCATTACACCCTTTCTCTCTTCATATATCTTAAATAATTCTTCAAGTGTTCGGTAGTTAACTCCCCTCTCTTCAGGTGTTCCCTCCATTGTAAATGTTTTACCAGTTCCGGTTTGTCCGTAAGCAAATATACAGACATTAAAACCATCCAATACTGATATAGCAATAGGTTTAGTTTGCGAAAAAACAGCCTCTGCGTGTAAACAAAATAACATTACACACATTTGATCAGCTTTGAGAATGAAAACAAAATAGCATTAATGCAACAATATCAAAAGTTGTAACTCCTAATATACCTTGGTTATCTTCAGGCTTAAAGACATGATCAAATTTAAATGACTTCTTGGAAGAATCTGAGTTAATGACTTGAAGCTCATTGTCAAGAGTCGATTCAAAATTGACAACAGATGTATACCCGTTCCCAGTTTCACTTGCACTTAAAGGTCTGCATCTGCAGAAAACCCTGATATTACCCTTAATTTCTATTATTTCATTATAAAGCCGCTTTCGCTCAGAAGATTCATCCAGATACTTCTTTTTCAAGAGTTCGTATTCAGTACCTATAACCAGATAACAACTATAGTTCAAACTAGCCAATAACAAGAAAAGAAAGCATTCAATTGACAATTTTATCTAGGTTTTCTACGAGAACCATACCGAGAAGCTGAATAGAGTTCAAAATATCAAGGCCTGAAAACGACTCAGTTGTAAATTTCACGTGATCGGTTAATGCTACGTGCTGCTTCTTCAAATCCTAACGCAAGAAAGAATCACAAAATAAACTGAAAATATGAGAAACACAAAACAAATCCCTGTAAACCCAAACTCTATTGAAAAATACAAAACACCGTGTGAAGAAGCAGCGATTCACCTGAACTTTGGTACTCAGATCAAGTATTTTCTTCAAGATCGGAAGCGTATGACCTAAATCCGGAGAATTCTCATGGATTCCATTAGAAATGCTGAATTCATCCATCGAATCGGAGTTTTCGTTTATTTCCTTCGATTCAGCATTGTCTAATTAAATTGAAAATTGATGTTTAGGTTTCGGATGATAATTAAATAAAATAGACTTGAATCAAGAATGTTCGGGAACTAACCTGAGGGAGGAGCGTTTGACGATTGCTTGAGTTCGCAATCTAGTACGAAGCGTTGAAATCGCTCGGCGAGCAATTGAATTTGAATGCTTTGATCTGTAAGAAACAGCGATTAGTATCAAAAAGTAAAGCAATTAAGAAATGAATAGTGTGCGGAGAAAAGAGAGAATACTTTACCGGTCATTTCCATTGGCTTGTGATGAAGATGATGAAGATGACGAAGAAGATAAAGATGATGATGAAGAAGAAGAAGAATCTGAAAGATGAAAGCAAAGAATTGAAAAATCTTTCTCGCCGAAGAGAAACAGTGTGATTTTTGAAATTTTGCTGGTGAAGAATCTTCTAGAATTCTGTGTTTGAAACGAAATTTTAACGGCTATATTCATTCATTTGATAGGAGCGTCCACCGTGCCGGTTTCCAATTTATTTACTGGGCCTGGGTACTTAATCTGATTATTGGGCTCGGGATATTTCACTCTTTGTACACGAGTTATTACTCAAACCCCCTTTTATTTTTTAAATAATTCGGACAAAAAAAACCTTTTTTATTTTATATTTGACAAAAAAAACTTTTAGATGATTACTGTGAAAACAAATAAGCAATATTTTATTTCATTCATATGGACCTGGAAATATGGTTACAAAATGTGAGGGCGGGGATTATTTGTTTTTTATTTTTTTCTCCCTTATTTTAGCTATCAAACATTTGGTTAAGAAATGATGATCGATAGAATTTGAGGCCACTGTACGTACTAGTACGTACTAGAACTCTTAGATATAGATATTTTGTCCACCAAAATTCTCATATCATCTCCATTCTCCACCAAACAACTTATGCTTGAGTAATATGACTTACTACTAGATAGTTAAGTCATACCGTCCAAATTTTTTCTTCACGGAATGACATAAGAGTAAGTAATTCAAGAGTTTGTTTGGTTTCCTCTCCCAATATATGTCTTGATATTGAGTATTTTGATCTATTTTTTTAAACAGTCTATAATTATGTTTAAAAAAATTGACTAGTGGTATCTTAAATCTGTAATACAAAATGCTGGAGAAATAAAAAGGGGTATAAACCATCAAATTCAAGCTGAGTGGTTGAAAGGAATAAGTATTTCAAGGATTTTATGTGAGAAAAAAGTATCGCTCAAGTTGAAGGAAAAGTTTTATTAGACTGTGATAAGACATGCGATGTTGTATGAGACAAAATGTTTGACGCTTAAGAATAAACACGAGAATGAAGTAAGTGTAGTAGAGAAGAGGATGTTGCATTGGATGTGTAGTGAAACTAAACAATATAAGATTAAAAATGACAATATTAGAGAGAGTGTTGAGGTAGAACATATAATAGAAAATATGATTGAAAATAAACTTCATCGATTTTGACATATTGAGAGAAGATCTACAGATTTTATGATAAGGAGAGTATATTAGATGAATATGAATGAAATAACTAAAAGTAGAGGAACACCTAGAAAAATTATAAGAGAAATTGTTAAGAAGTATCTTGAGGTTAATAATTTGGATAAAAGTATGGTCCTAAATAGAATATTATGGAGAAATTTGATCCATGTAGTCAACCCCACTTAGCGGGATAAAGCTTGGGTCTTATTGTTGTTATTGTTGTGTGTAAAAGAGAACGTGACAATATGATCATTTAGCGTGGATGTATAAGGTGAGAAATTTTTCGAGCTCGACAGACGATGGATGCACATCAATATGAGCAAGGTGCACTTGGGGTAACAACATCATTTTTTAGGATGATTGTATGACACGTCTCTTCTGGTACAGTATCAACATCATGTTTCTCGCCGGTTATGGCACAAATAAGTAATTATTTCGTATTAGGTGGAATAGTCTTTAGTTTTAATTATTATTTGTATTTATAATGTATACTTTAAATTGCTTTAATAAGTGAGGTTCGAAGAAGGAATTAAAGGTTGCACCACATGGAAGTAAACTGTTAGAATAATTGTGGTTTATCTTCACTCCAAAGAGTCATTTTGAAGAGGGTTAATCCTAGTGTTATATCATCATTTATGGAGAAATTACATTTAGAGACATCATCATTTCATATATCATTTGGTGATATGACAATTACTCTGGACGATATTTCATGTCTTCTTCAACTTCTGATAGGGGTGATTTCTACGATCCTCTACTGTATCAACAAAGAAGGTGTTGATGCTTTTTCTGTCGAGTCATTGAGAGTGACCATATAGAACAATACACTAGAGACATGTACTTGTAAGTATCCACATTATAGGCTAGATTGACTGCATATTCTATTTATGAGGCATCAAGGTCTTTTTAAACATGTGATATATATAGTTTGGGCGTAATTTTGTTTCCCTATTGTAACTTTAAGTTTTTATAATACCCTCCCAACATTTTCATAAGTCACATATACTATTGTCTAACATATTGTCGCAACTGCAAAAAGGGCTGGCGAAAACAAACAGAAGAGTTGCCACCGAATATTATTTATCCTAGAGAGAGGGAAAGGAAACGATCAAAGAAAACCTAAGAGAAAGGGAATAACAAGGTCATCATAACCAAATCTTGGGTTCGGGAGTCAATTACGCAAAGGGAAGGTATGAGCACCCCTCACGTCCGTTGTACTCAAGGGGATTCACGCTTGTTGTCTAATCTATAGGTGAAAACTATCTAAAAGCTACTGTTAGACGGGGGTGAAGAGAAAGAACAGACTCGATAGGACATCGTCGCCCTATGCCTATGTATTCCCTCGTGCAATAGGAAAGTCAGAGTCAACGTAGTTCGGGAAAAATACGGGTGATGGGGGGAAGGTTGCTCGCCAAGACATCGTCGTCTTGTGCCTACGTATCCTTATCTGGTATGAGAAATCAGAGCAAACGTAGTTCGGGCGAAACTAGACCACTGGTTGGTTAAGGTGTTTTATGAGCAATGTTAATTCTTCATTCTAGCAGTTAGGGACGATGCTTGTTTGCGGTAGAACAGAAACGTAACATACTCTTTCTGAAAATAAGGTTTGAAGACAATCCCGAATGATGAAAATATTTGAGTTTTGTTTGTGAGTTTTAGAGAAGTGAATTGGGTTAGTTTGAAACTCATGTTGCACTAAAGACTATGACATAAGAGCGAATGCGTCGCATATCGTCCAAAGGGCATACGCTAAACACTCTAGACAATATAAAGAGAGACCTCCCCACTTATCATTCCTCATGTACTTAAGGCTCGTAGCGTACAACACTCGTCATTCTTTATTAAGTGTCTTAAAAGAGTTTGAGATGAGAAGAGAAGACACAAAGATTCTAAAGGGAGTTAAGAGCACTAATGTTGTCATGCAAAGTGGTCCTAAAGTTGGGATAGAAGGGTATTACCTAATGTTATCATGCAAAGGATTGAAATCCTAATGTCTCTCCTACTTTTATCTTAAACAGAGGAACTAGGAATCATAAGGGATCATGTGAGCAAACACAAGTAAACACAACACTAATCAATCACAAATGTAAACAAAGAGGAAGAAAAAAACTTAAACAAGTCAAGAAAGATGAAAGGGGGATATGAGAAGAAAACACACATGCAAACATGAGACATTCATTAAAGACACACACAAATCATATCCAAGTCAAAAAGGTAGAAGTTAGAACACAAAGGAAAACAAGGCAATCACACACAATCAAATGCCACAAACAACTTAAGGAGAAAGATACTAGGCAATAAACCACAATCAAAGAAGTAAGGAGAGAAATAGATTGGGGAAACAACCACATTATGAACATCTAAATCAAACATCTACTCATGATCAAACATAAAGGAAACAACCAACCACTTCTCTAAAGAAGTTCAAGTACCAAAGTCAATCTCAAAATGCAACACACATCACAAAAAGCATCAAAACAAACATACAATCATCAAGGTCAGAAATGAACTCAAGTTATGTGCATCAAATTCAAACTCAAGTTATCAAAAAAGGTCAAGAACGATCAAACTCAAATTAGAGGAGCAAAGTCCATGCAAACATCTAACACTTCAAACACAAGTGGAAAAACAAAATTATACAAGACTTGTGGGATGAGACACACATCCAATGGATACCCAATCATGCAAGTCAGCACCTCAAACATGTTAACAAGAGCTAACAAGACTCAAAAGGCCCTCAAGGGATCACACAAGATCATATCCCAAAACTAGGTCAAGACATGCACACACACACACACACACATAGCTAAAACAATTGAGTTTTGAGGCATCAACCAAAAATAGAAACAAACCCAAATAAAATAGCAAACTCAATTTAGGTCTACCCAAGATCAGTGTGCAAAAGATCATGGCAATAATTGCATCAAAGCACCACCAACTGTGTCCAACAAGACAAGGTACCCAACTTATCGAGCATTCATCGAGGGTCAAATAAAATCCAATGAAAAACAACTAAGAAATGATCATCAAGACACCAAACCAACCCTCAAATAAACCTCAATCAAACACCTAAATGTGAGAGGAAAATTGGTCAAATGGGGTGTTCAAATGGGGTCAAAGATCAAGTCTAAAATAAATGAACAAACCAAGAAACCACTTCACAAACTAAAATGATTAAAAATAACAAAAATAATTGAAAAATAAAATAAAAATATGGAAAATATATCAACATGCCAATTGATCAGAAACTATTTTTTATTGATTTTTATGATGATTAAAACTTTTTTAAATGGAATTAAAATGAAAATGGAAGAAAAATAAAATAAAAATAAAAAACAAAGCAAGAGGGTGTGGAAGTAAACCCAGATTGAACTGAATTCACTTGAAGCGTGCAAATGGGCTTAATGCAGGGGGTGTTAAAAGCAAAAATGCAAAGCCCAAACCAACAAAAACCCAGTTTAAGTGAAACGAAATGTTTCATTAATCCAAGTGGTCATACACCTCAGATTCAACCCTGCCACGCACGGAAGTCAAGGGTCCAAGTCAATCCACCTCAGTAATTGACCTCAGACGTCGGAGTCCTAGCTTCGGTCGTCTTCTCCGGTGAGCTTCACCGGTGATGAATGGAAATCAACATAAAAATGAAAACTCTTGACATGGTTTTGAAGGATTTTTCACGTAGATCATGATTCCATCAATGGTTTCTTAAAAATGTCCCTTAACCATGGTGAAAACAAGCCACGAAAAATCAACATACAAATTGAGAATGAATCAAACAACCATAAC